TGTCATATCCCTGAACAACCTTGATGGTGAGTCCTGGTACCAAGGCCACCCTCCCTGCCTGCCTGGGCCTGAGGCAGCTGGCAGGCATGGGCCCCTTGGCAAGGCCTGCAGGTTGAGTTGCTTGGACCTGAAGCCCTGGTGCCCAAAAGGACCCTTATACCCAATATGTCACAGTTACGGGTTTTGAAACAAACTCGGGGGTGGGGGATCAAAAGTAGCTGTAGGGTCTGGCCCTCTGCCTTGGGGTTCCCTCCATTCCCTACTCTGGCATAGTTGCTTGAAGGAGGGAGGGGTACCTGGAGACAGAGCTGGCCCTGGCTGCCTGCCCATATCCCATGGGGAAGAGGGGACTGCAGGCCAGGGTACTGGTCCCCAGGCTTGGCTCCACCACAGCTGACCACTGAGGGCCTGGGGCTGCCCTCTCCCTGCTCCAGGGGCTGCATTCTCCTCCTATAAACTTTGGCATAAAAGTCAGCATCCCTAACAGTCCTTGGAGTCCATTCAGGGTTCTGAGTGCAGGAGGCACTAAATATGGTGCAGAGTTTTCCCAAGGCCCCGTGGTGCCAGCTGCACCTGCTGCTGCCCACTCTCGTCCTCAGTTACCCTAGCCTGGCCGCTTCTCCTCACCAGCTCCAAAGTCAGCCCTTAAGAGGAACAGCATGAAAGGGGGCTGATTTATATCAGAGTTCGTCATGCCAGCAACAGTGGACACGCCATCGGGTCTGTCTGCCATTCTGTGGGGCATGTCCCTATACCATCAGACAGGACCTCGCTGAGGGAGCCTGGTGCTCTCTCCCCAGGAGACTCTGAACCCTTGCAGGGGGCCTGTCACTGCCAAGAGCTGCTGAGAGGTGCAGAGGCTCAGAACTCCCCAAGGCAGACGGATGTGCAGCTTTAGAAAAGAAGCGCTCATCTCCCTACTCCCCCCCCACCACACACACACACACATAGTGTAAAGCCTGAGCCCTGTTTCTGAGCTCGGAACAGAGGGCTCTAAGGTGCTGGGAACACCCTCCTTTTTTATCTGGGTGCTGAATACACAGGATGTTCCGTTTGTGAAAATCCATCAAACTATACATGTATGACTTACAGATCATACTAAGGTCAAACCCCTCCAAAAATTAGACCTAAACCCCTAAGTGCTGACCCCGCCCTGGGCCAGGCCCTCAGCCCTGTGGGCAGTTCTGCAGAGGCTCAGCAGCGCACAGGCATAAACGGCCTCGCCGTCTCGCCTCTAAGAAGTGGAGCTCCTTCTCGGCTGTTCCCAGGCTGGGTCCTGGACTGGGCCCTGCTCGCGCCTGACTGGGGGAGGAGGTGTGTAAAGCTGGCTTGGTGACTGGCAGCAGCAGACAGCTGCAGCAAGGGCTGGCAGTGGGGCCTGTGCCAGTGGCTACACCTGGAGCACAGGATGCTGCCCCAAGAGCTCAGCCATGTGCCCTATAAGCAGACCGCCAGGAGTGTCTGAGCATCAACACTGACCTGGAGGTGGCCCTACGTCACGGGCAAAGCCCCAGCATTGGCATCTCATGGTCCTGAGCCTGGGGTTCCTACGGTCGACCGGGCCTAGCCCTCTGAGCTGCTCTCAGCGGGCAAAGGGCCCCTGCAGGGACTCAGACTCTGGTACAGTGGGGACAGTGAATGCCAGGTGTCCCCCAGCAAGGTCCCGCTTCTGACGAGGACTACCTGTGCGGCCTGAAGCGTAAGGCTGGCTGAACACCTGAGGCTCTGCCCCAGGGCCAAGGAAGCACCACAAAGATCTGGCCTTGCTTCCAGTGCCAACTGGGCTGCCTGCTTCCTACAGAGCAGCCTGCAGCTTCCTATGCCCCCACCCCGTGGCACCCATCTCCTGCCTTCTCTCTCCCTGCAGAGGAGTCCAACAAGAAGCACCCATTCCCCTGCCCCACCTCCTACCGCACGGCCCTCACCTACTACCTGGACATCACCAACCCGCCACGCACCAACGTGCTCTATGAGCTGGCCCAATTCGCCTCGGAGCCCTCAGAGCAGGAACAGCTGCGCAAGATGGCCTCCTCCTCTGGCGAGGGCAAGGTATACCTGCCATGCCCACCCCTCAGCCCTGGGCTGCACCCCCCAGGCCACCCCACCCAGCCACTCTCCAAGCGGCATGGGCCCAACTGCAACCCAGTGCCCTGCGCCACCACGCCCCCTCACGCCTGTCTCACCCTGTGTCCTGTCCTCCCCAGGAGGTGTACCTGAGCCAGGTGGTAGAAGCTCGGAGGCACATCCTGGCCATCCTGCAGGACTACCCGTCCCTGCGGCCCCCCATCGACCACCTGTGTGAGCTGCTGCCTAGGCTGCAGGCCCGTTACTACTCCATTGCTTCGTCTTCCAAGGTGGGGAGGCCCGGCCCGCTAACAGAAAGCATAGCCTTGGCTTCTCTGGGGTGCATGGGATCCCTGGGCATCGTCCTACTGTCCCAAACACGCGGGGCAGTTCGCTCAAGAGTCCCCAGGCAGTGTATCTATTGGGTTGTTGGAAAAGTAATGACACATTTTTGCAACAAAAAACAGAAAAAATACATCATGACTTTTCCAACAACCGAACAGCATGCTGTGCTGTAAGACTGCGCACTGCTCACAGCCCTGGTGCAGAGAGCCAGTCAGACCTGCCTGAAAGGGACCTTTGAGGTTTGGGCACCACAAAGGGTATGGAGGCCCTGAGCAGGGATCCCATACTGAGGCGGCTCAGGTGACGGAAGGCGCCTTGGGCACAGCTGCCACACTCACTCCTACCTCTCCCCTCCCCCCTCCCCTCCAGGTCCACCCCAACTCTGTGCACATCTGTGCTGTGGCTGTGGAGTATGAAACCAAGTCTGGCCGCATCAACAAGGGTGTGGCCACCAGCTGGCTGCGGGCTAAGGAGCCCGCGGGGGAGAATGGCCGCCGGGCTCTGGTGCCCATGTATGTGCGAAAGTCCCAGTTCCGCCTGCCCTTCAAGGCCACCACACCGGTCATCATGGTGGGCCCTGGCACTGGGGTCGCCCCCTTCATTGGCTTCATCCAGGAGCGGGCCTGGCTGCAGCAGCAGGGTAAGTGTATGGGCCTGGGCTGGGGCTAGGGCTGGCGCAGGGGTGGGGACTAGATGGGGTTCCACACTCACCCGGCCAATCCCCCCCAGGCAAGGAGGTGGGGGAGACGCTGCTGTACTATGGCTGCCGCCGCTCTGACGAGGACTACCTGTACCGGGAGGAGCTGGCCCAGTTCCACAAGGAGGGCGCCCTCACCCAGCTCAACGTGGCCTTCTCCCGAGAGCAGCCCCAGAAGGTGAGGCCAGGGACAGGCTGATGTGGCGGGGGAGGAGGGCGCTGTGGGACGGGCCTCCTCACAGGCACCACCCTCTGCCCTCAGGTCTACGTCCAGCACTTACTGAAACGGGACAAGGAGCACCTGTGGAAGCTGATCCACGAGGGCGGTGCCCACATCTATGTCTGCGGGTAAGTGACGGCAGAGGAGAGAAGGGTGAGGCCCTGCCTGACCTGGGAGGAGGGGGACCCTTGCCCGGCCCCCAGTGCCACGTCCTTCCTCCCCCCAGGGATGCTCGGAACATGGCGAGGGACGTGCAGAACACCTTCTACGACATTGTGGCCGAGCTGGGGTCCATGGAGCACACCCAGGCCGTGGACTACATCAAGAAGCTTATGACCAAGGGCCGCTACTCCCTGGATGTGTGGAGCTAGGAGCGGCCCAGCCCTGCCCTCGTGCCCTGCAGACTTGCTTCCCCATATAATCACCTCCCTCCCTCTTCTGCTAGTCTCCTGGGTGGGTTCTGCTGGGCCTTGTCACAGGAGGCAGACCCAGTGACAAAGACTGCTCTAGGTCTGAGATGTGCCCTCCAGAGGCCCCGGCCACAGGGCACATAGCTAGGCGTGACCGGGCCCACACTTTGTGAACACCTCAGGCCCCCAGTGGCTGTACAGAAGGGGCCTTTCTCTCAGCTGAGCAGGAGCTTGGCCCCTCACATGATTTTCAATGAGTGTAAATAATTTTAACATCTGGTCCTTGGAATAAAGTTGTTTTCTGTATTTGCCTGATGATATTCTTTGAACAGATCTGGGGTCTCTACCTGGGTCTACTTAACTCAGATCCCAGAGAGCAACAGCTCACGAGTCCCATGAGCCCATGCAGTGGCAGCAGAGAACCACCTGCCCTCAGGACAATACACACTGAGCCACCTCTGTGCCTCCCTTCTTTTATTGAGGCCACTGGCCCCAGATCCCTGCAGGCTGGGACACAGGTCCAGTTCTTCTCCAGCATAGCCTTTGGGGCCCACAGAGCCCACAAAACCAAGGGAGAGCAGAAAAGACCCTCTTGGATGAGGGGAACACCCACCCCCTCAAACAACACATGTGTACAGAAGCCCCTTCCAGGCTGATGGCAGGGGAAGGCGCAGTCTCATTCTTTCTTGCTCCCGCGCCGCTGACAGTGGAATTTCTGGTGCACAACCCGCAGGGTGGTAAAGAAATTGCCAAGGAAGAGGAGGAGGAAAGGGAGGCCGCACATGAGCACCTGGGGGAAGAATCAGGGTGAGGACAGAGGCTGGATACTGGTCCTCCCAGCGTCCTTCCCAGGGGATCCAGCTCACCTGCCACTCTTTGCACTCAGGGTCCCGGGCCAGGCTGAACAACGTCAGCGCGTTAAAAAGCTGCCAGAACTGGGAGGGAGCAGGGTTTCCATTAGTAGAACACGGTCTCTGCTCGAGCCAGAAACGGGGGCTGGGCAGCCAGATGGACGGGGACACAGATATAACTTACATGTCCAAAGAAAAGAAAGGGCAGCAGGAAGGTGAGGCCCCGCCACATCCAGGACTGGAAGCCCTCTGCGGAGGAGAAGGGGCCAGGCACAGGATAACCAGGGACAAAAAGACACACCACTGCTCAGACCCAGCTCAAGAGCAAAGGAACTTTCCCCTCCCAGCTCCCCCGTCAGGACCACAGCGGGGGCCACACCGACTCACCCACAGTGAGGTCCATAGTGTGCCTCTCGCCCAGGGCCCGCAGCCGGTACAGACAGCCGCTCTGGTAGTAATACTGGAGGAACTGCACAAAGCCTGGAGGTGCGGGGGCATCAGGACTAATCTGGAGTCCCATGTCCTTTCCCCAGCCCTCCCCATGGGCAAGTCCCGAGCTAAGCAGGGACCTCTGAGACACTCACTCTGGTACATGGAGAAGGACAGGAATTGGTTCCGGAACTTCTGGTACATGAGGCCGTCGGGCCTAAGGCAGAAAGCAGAGGGAAGGGGTGGGGAGCTTGGGGATGCCGACTGTCCCTGTCCTAGCTCCCCACCCCAGGCCCTGGGAGCCAAGCTGTGCCACTCACCATGTCAGCATGACTCCCGACAGGAAAGTAGACACATAATGATGGAAAACCCACCAGCCTTTGATCCTGTATCAGGAAGCTGCTGTCACTCCTGTCCCCTCGGCTCCCAGGATTGGTGCTCCGGGACAGGGAGTGGGCTGAGATGAAAAGAAACCAGCACCCCAGCCCCATTCCTGCTTCTAGAGGGCCATGGCACCCCCTGCATCCTAGGGTGGCTCTAGTACCCCCTCCCCTGCCCCCCAGGAGCTGGGGTCAGGCCCTTGCCCTTGCCCACCGGGAGCCATTGTTGATGAGGATGCTCTCTCGGATGGTCAGGGTGCAGTAATACCAGACCAGCAGGAAGTTGAAGGCGGCATCTGTCACCCTGCGGAGGGGGACACAGGATTGGCACTGGATCCTATAGAAGGTACAGGGTCTGTCCCCTGAGCAGCAGGACACCCACCTGGAGTTGAGGAGGAAGCGGCACGTGAAGGAGATGAGGATGAGGATGATGGTGAGGTAGAGCTTGAACTTCTCGTACTCGTCTTTGTAGGCAAACCTGGGGTGGGCACACACCCACGGGACAGGCTGAGATGCTGGCAGGACCCACCCTCACCTCTGCCGGAGGAGGGAGGTGCCTACTCTGGACATACTTCCATGCATGGTATGGGCCAGCATGGGGGAGCAGCCCCTGAACCCCAAGGCTCAGCCAAGGCAGCTGAGACAGAGTAGAAAGGCCCCAGGAGGGTGGAGAGCAGAGCTGAGACCCCGCCCATGACAACCAATTACTTAGCCTGCTTGCTCAGGAGTGTCACGTTGACGTTGCCCAGCACCAGGCTCAGGTACAATCTAGGGGAGGGGGAGAGACTGGGTGAGGAGAGCCCACAACTGAGAGGGAAGCCAAAGGGCAAAGGGCACAGAGCCCCCAAGTGGGCCAGGCCAGTGTCTGGGTCACCACCCCCACTCAGCCTTCCTATGGCCTTGGCTAAGGGCTCTGACCTTGGGATGCTGCAGATAAGCTCCATGGGAAACACTGATGCCCAGCCTTTGTGCCTGCCTGCTCCCGAATCTTGCCAGGGTAAACCAAAAGCCCTTCCCTCCCTCATTGTCACCCATGCTCCCCCACCTCAGGGCCTCAAGGGCAGCCTAGCTCTCCCACGCCATGGAAGCCATGCCCACATCTCAGTTCACCCCTGTGGGCCTGGGCAGTAGACTTAACGCCTATGTACATGATAACCATCTGTCACCTACCCTATAGTTTTGGCTACTTCCGAGAACCTGCAGCCCCTAGTCCACTGCAGCAATCCACACCCACAACCAGGTCAGGACCTCTTCCCAACCCCAAATGGCTTCCTCGCTATGCTGGTTATATTCTGACCCCTAAGTGCCAAGCCTCCCCGCCCATGTCACCACACGGACCCACCCCTTCACTGAGGCTCCCAGGCCCTGCTGACCCTACTCCCCTTTCCAGAGCCAGCTAAGTCCCCAACCCCTCCTTCACATGTCAACCACTTTCCTGCCAACCCATAACTCCCAGCTCCTGGCACTGCCACACACCCACCAGCTAAGCTCATCTTGTCCTCTGCCAAAGAAACTTCAAAAGGTGACCAGAGTCACAATTGTGTACTAAGCAGCTGCACCCACACATGAGCTCTTGTTCATACTCAAGCCATGTGGACAGGCTCAGAGTGGTTAAGAAACTTGCCCAAGGCTGCAAAGAGATTAAGGGGCACAGTGGGGACTTGGACCAGGCTGCCAGGCCTCTCAGAGCCACCACCAGCAGTGGCCTCGACAAACCCTCTCTCCCAAACCCTTCATCCTGTCTTTCCTCCTGGCAGCTGATCTCTCCCCTGCCCGGTCACACTCATCTCTGTGCCCCTTCCCATCCCAAACCACAGGGGCCCAAGCCCAGCCCTCCCCATCTCCCCAGGGGTTTCCCTCCATTACTTAGTGCCCCTTTTCTGTTTATCTCCCCTCTGCTGGCCCCACCTCTCAGCAGGCAGATATGCTTACATCTGTCCTGTGTACAAAGTTACACATACACCCAAACAAAAGCCGCCCTCAACGCTCACGCTGTGTTCTAGGTACTAGTTTCTTTCACTCACAGCCAAGCTTCTGAAGTGTGACCTAAACTTGGCTGTCTCCGCAGCTCTTTTGTCATCCCCAATATCAACTTCCACCCATGCTGTCCTGTGAAGGTCACCCTGACTTCCAGGAACCATTTCCCCTTCATTACGGCATTTGCACCCCCCCCCCAGCCATCTGATCTGAGGCTGCTGGCCACTCCTTCCCTTGCTCCTTCCCTCGCCTTCTGGGACACGCTCTCTCCCAGCTGTCTGGCTGCCTGCCATCTCTGAATGCTTTTTTTCACTCAGCCCACGGTTCTGCACAGTCCCTGCCCATCCTCCCCGGTGGTGGCAGTTCGTACTTGACTTGTCATTCTCCCCAGCCTACTAGGCCTGAGGTGAACTCTGCAGCCTGGCTCACCCTGTGGCTCATCAGAACCTCTCACTTCCCACCCCACCTGCTGTTGCTGCCTTCCTGGCTCAATCCTTTATCCTTTATGACTTGGCTCAGGCCTCACCAACTCCAGGAAGCCCTCTCCGACCTCCTGGGCTGGGTTAGGGGCCTCCCTTGCTTCCCTATTCCTTGTACTTCCACCACAAAGCACCCATCCTGGTGAGCTGTCACTGTCACTCAGCTGTCTCCCGTGAGGTAGGACTATGCTGACTGCTCAGCCCAGAGTGGGCCCAGGGCACATCTGCTGACCAAATGATTGAGCAGAGGAAGAGCCTCTCTCCCAGGAGTAACTGTGAACTGAATTTGGGGGAGGGGTCTCACCCATTCTTCTTGGGCAAATAGGACTCCATATCGAAGAAGAGGCCTTGGCGCTCCTTTATCTGGTTCTCCAGCTCCTGCGCAGCCTCCTCTGCCCCCACTGGAAGGGAGGGTTTGCATCTGCAGGTGGAACCACAGAAGTCAGAGTCAGAGCAGGAGGCCCCAGGTATCACGCTGACACTTGTGGGGCAGGAGGGTTAACGTGGTGCAGAAAGGGGAGCAGCCATGCCAGGAAGTCAGCACCAGCCCTCCATCCCACCAGGTCAGACACCCACCCCCAGACAGAGGCTGAGGGGGCATGGGGGGGTGGGGGGTCCTAACTTCTTCAGGCCAAGTGTTAGCTCCTGGAGCTGCTTCTTCTGCCGAGTGATGGAGCCGGTACAATTGCTCTGCAGCTTGGTCAGCTCCTCTAGCTTCAGGCGGTACAACCGGTGGGTCTCCTGGGGACCAGGTTGAAGAGAAGGGTCAGGCTGGTTGGGGGGCCATTTGGCCATAGCCTGCTGGGCTGGGGGTCAGGGCACACACTCTCCCAGAGCTACTTGGGAGGGTCTCAGCAGGAAAGGAGGCAGCCAGCTGTGCCAGCCCAGGGACCTCCCCAAGGCTACTCTCTCCCCGAGGCAGGCAAGGAAATTGTTTTTTTCCTGAAAGCCCAGAAACTCCCATGGCACCCCTCTCCCACAAACAGGCTAGTTACCTGAATATTTTTTGGTCTCAGGTCATCTACTAGTTGTTCCCACCCCTTTCTATCTCACCCCGTCTGGATTCTAGGCCCACAGGTCCATCTTCTGGACCGAGCAGGCTGCCCACCCCCGGCACTCTCAGATCCTCCTGCCTATCCAGCCTGCAAGTGCAGAGGAAGCTGGGGTTGTCCAAGATGGCTTCGGCTCTGGCACGCCCAGCATCTTCCTCCTGGGTTAAAGGTCATCAGGCTTCAGCCCTTGGACCTCCTGCTATAAGGCCAGCGCCATACCCCTCCCCCAGCATCATTGGGCCAAGGCTTCCCAGAGTACTTTGCCCTGGTGGGTGAAGTCTTGAGAAGCAACAGCCTGAAGACTGGGCAAAGGGCAATGTGAGGAGGTCAGGCAGGGTCTGAGGCCAGGACAGTGGTGGTCAGGTTGGGAGACTAGGTCTGCTCTGTTCAGGACTCTGGGGAGAAGCACTAATAGCAGTAGGCTTCATGGGGCCAGGGGACACCTAGGCTTCAACGCAGACAGGAAGGGGCTGGAACCAATCCAGGAGGGGCAAAGGTCTGATCAAGCACCCAGCTGGCCTGAGCTCTATTCTGTCTGGGTCTTGCTTCTCATACCCAGGAGGGGCTACCACACCCCATCAGAACTTCTCTGCCCACCCCCAGCCACCACCTCTCCTATCCAAAGCAGCCCAGCAGCCTCTTCCTCCCTGGCCTTCCCACGGAACAGCACAGTGGCCTATACAAGTCAGGTCCAGTCAATTCCTCCAGTGGCTTCCACTGGTCTAAGGCACACTCCAACCACCCTGGCCCGTGAAGCTCCTGCAGAATATGGCCCACCTACTTCTCCCCTCATTCTTTGCAGCAGCCACCACGGGCCTGTCTTCGTGGGCAGTGTCCTTCACTCTCGATCAGCACCATCCCGCTACAGGCCGGGGACTTCACCTAAACACCACTTCCCCCAGCCCAGGCCCGGCTGCCTCCCGGGCTGCTCCCGCGCAGCACTCAGCCCAGGCGGCGGGACAGCACCGCTCCGGTCCGGAGCCCGAGGCATGTTTGCTGAGTGGCTGACCCGACTGGGCCCGGCCGGCTCTGACTCAAGCGGCCACTCCCCTGAAGAAGACTGGGTTGGGGTCAGGCCTCTTTCCAAGCCCCTCGCCGGAGGGCCGAAGTCCGCCGGGCACAGTGGGGTCCCGCCGGGATCGTGGCAGCCGCTCGCACGAAGGGTGCCTCCGTCGGGCACTCAAGTGAGGCCGAGAGAAGGGTCCCTCGGGAGCGACACTAGGGTTCCCGACCCCTGACCCCGAGCTCCCCGGTGCCTAACACAAGGCTGTCCGACCCTTGACCCCGAGCCAAAGAGATGGGGCTCGGGACCAGTGGGCGCCTGCATTGACGCTCACCTGGATGCTCTGGAAGTCCTGCTGCAGCTCCTCCCAGTCCCGCAAGCAGTCGCCCAGCGGGCCCGGGGGCGTGTGATGCATGGCTGCCGGGCCCCGTGCCAGACGAGCGGAGGGTCGAGGACGCCGCCGTAACCCCGGCTGGCCGGAGGCACCTCAGCCTCCACCGCCTTCGTCCCCGTCCGCTTCCGGGCTCGCGCCGCCGCGACCACCAATGGGAAAAGGTCCTGGAGCAGCGAGCACGCTGGCCCCGCCTCTACCCGACCCAATCCAAGTCCGGGGCGGGGCCGGGGCCGGGGCCGGGGCGGGGCGGGGCCCAGCGCGCCCAGCACAGCTAGCCCCGCGACTCCCGGCCTGGACTAGGGCTGGGGCGGCAGCGGACCCTCGCTGGGCTCCACTGGTGGTGCCAATCGCGTGGTGCAGCCAGCAGTGTGACCTGGATCATCATGCTGGGAGTAAACCAAGGCCCAGGGAGGTGACACTTGCTTCAAACACTTTCATCTTTGGGAAGATGTACCTCAGCGGAGAGGGGATTCCGAACCTCCTCTCCATATTTACAGCAGTCTCCTTACTGTCTCCCTGCCTTTAGCTCACTGATACTGTCCCTTCACACAGCTACCAGACTGCCCTTCCTAAAATATGAGGCTAATCCCCACCATGTCCCCACTGAAAACTTCCCAGTGGTTCTGCCCTGCCTACCAGGAAGTCCCTAACGGACAGAGCCATGGCTCTGCAGCCATCCCAGGCTCATTTCCAGCTCAGATCCTGACTAAAGCCTGCGTTGCCTGAAAAGCCCTTACTCCTCCGACAAATCCCCACTCCTGGAGGTCTTGGGCTTCCGTTTGGGGTAGGAGAGACCTCCAACCCTCTGCAGAAAGTCCTAGGAGGTAAAATGGTGTTCATCTCTATGTCCCCAGCCCTGCCCAGGTGGCCCAGGAATATTTGCTGAATGAACATTGATGGACATCCTAAATTCCCCATCAGTCCCCTTGTCTGTGCCCTCTCCTGACTTCAGACTTGTTCTGCAGGCACTGCCAGAGCTCCAAAGCACATTCTGTGGAAAACCCCCTTTAAGACCTGAGGAATTTCTAGACACTTGGGTGTGGGGGATGGAAGGGGTAGGAATCTCCTCTTGGTAAACACAGCCATGCAGAAATGAGTGGGAAAACAGAAAGGAAATCGGTACAAGCAGTAAACCAGTGGAGTGGTGGGGAATGCTGGGACTGGGGATGAGGCACAGGTGTACCCTGTGCCAGAGGCCTCTTAGAGCTGTGGAGCCTGGGGCCTGGGCCTGGCACCTCTAGGACTGGGGGATCTCCACCCACTGGTGGGTATTGTGACACCCCCTGTGAACCAACACAGACAGCAAAACCCCTGGAGCTCCCCCCAGGCAACCTTCAAAGGATTCAAGTCATGGGGGTGCATGTGGGGCAGTTGCTCTGGCAGCCAGATGCTCTTTCAGAAGCAGCGTCAGGAGTGCAGTGGGGGTGATCCAGGAATGGGGGTTCTCACTAAGTCTGAGCAGAGTGCATCTGCTATGTGGCGTGAACAAGGAACCTGGGAAGAACCAATGTAGGAGGCTGACAAGAGGCTCCAGGTAGCAAAGACCTTTTTCCACAGCAACCTGGCTACACACCTTGGCCCACTAGCCACAAGAAGCGCCCAAGCAAGGTTTTTCAGGACCCATAGCTGGGCCACAGAGATCAGTAGAGTGGATCCGAGATATCTGTGATAAAGTCTCCGAGGACAATCTTCTCCCATGCCAACAGCTGGATCACCAAGCCCCGATTTGGATGCATGTTGTTTTTGCACTTCTTGACGTAGGCCCAGGACCTCTGTGAAATGCAAGGGGAGAAAACGGATTTCAGGATTGGACCTGGGCCCTTTCCTCTTAGATCAGAGCCAGCTCAAAAGGGAAGGGAGGTATTTGCCAGGGCCAGCAACGTGGCTTAAGGGCTGGACACAAACACGGCACATGTTAATACATTAGGGCAAAGGAATCATAGGAGCTGGCTTGGCCTTGAAGTCCCTCTGCACCTCTGCTTCTTAATATGGAGACAGTAACCATTCTTATTTCAGGTAGCTCCCGTGAAGGTTGAGACAAACATGCGAAACTTCCTGTGAGCAGGAGAGCACCATGCCCATGCCGGGCACATGATGCAGCCTCAACAAAGGTTTGTGTCATGAGTGGATAAATTAATAGAAAGGGGAAGAGAACTGTGGACAAATTCTCTGAAGAAGGAAAATCAAAACTGCCTTCTTTCAGGCATCTACCCTAAAATGCAGGAATGGTTACTACATGAAGGAAGGTGACAAGCTAGTTTCATGTGGATTGAGGACAGAGAAAAAAAGAAAAAGGCAAAAGCAGTGCCTTAACAAACTAGGAATAGAAGGAAACTACCTCAACATAATAAAGGTCACATATGAAAAACCCTCAGGTTACATCATACTCAATTGGTGAAAGTCTAAAAGCTTTTCCTTTCTTCAATCAGGAACAATGCAAGGATGCCCATTTTCACCACTTCTGTTCAACATTGTACTGGAAGTCCTAGCCAGTGCAATTGGGGGGGAAAAAAGCAAAAAGAAATAAAAGGTATCCAAACTGGAAAGGAAGAAGTAAAATTCTCTCTCTCTCTCTTTTTTTTTTTTTGCTGATGACATGTTCTTACATGTAGAAAACCTTAAAGATTCCACCAAAAATACTGTTAAACTAATAAATGAATTTAGCAAAGTTACAGGATACAAAATGAACACTCAAAATCAGTTGGCTATCTATATACTAACAATGAACAATCTGAAAAGGAAATTAAGAAAACAATTCCACTTACAATAGCATCAAAATGAATAAAATACTTAGGAATAAATTTAAATAAGGGGGTGAAAAACTTGTACCCCCCAAACTACAAAATGTTGCTGAAAGAAATTAAAGAAGACATAAATAAATGAAAAGACATCCCATTTACATGGATTGGAAGACTTAATATTGTTAAGATGTCAATACTACCCAAAATAATCTATAGATTTAATGTAATCTCTATCAAAACACCAACAGCATTTTTCACAGAAATAGAAAAATATATTCTATAATTCATATGGAATCTCAAGAGACTCCTGAATAGGCAAAACAATCATGGAAAAAGAAAAAGTTGGGGGCCTCACACTCCCTGATTTCAAACCTTCAAAGTTATAAAACTATAATAATCAAAACAGTGTGGTCCTGACATAAAGACAGATACTCAGACCAATGGAATAGAACAGACAGTCCAGAAATAAATCTTCATATATATGGTCAAATGATTTCAGTGAGGATGCCAAAGCCATTTAATGCAGAAAGGATGCCATTTTTAAAAACATTTTATGGGGGAACAGTGTGTTTTTCCAGGACCCATCAGCTCCAAGTCAAGTAGTTGCTTCAATCTAGTTGTGGAGGGCACAACTCAGTGGCCCATGTGGGGATCAAACTGGCAACCTTGGTGTTATGAACACTGTGCTCTAACCAACTGAGCTAACCAGCCACCCTCAGAAAGGACGCCTTTTCAACAAAAGGTGTTGCGAATACTGAATATGCACATGGAAAAGAATGAAGTTGGACCCTTACATTCCACCATGTACAAAAATTAACTCAAAATGATTGAAAACTTAAATATAAGAGCTAAAAGTATGAAACGCTTAGAAGAAAACATATAAAAGGAAAAGCTTTATGACATTGGAGTTGGTAATTATCTCTTGGATATGACACTAAAAGCGCAGCTGATGAAAAAAAATAGATAAATTGGACTACATCAAAGTTAAAAACCTTTATGCATCAAAAGACACAATCAACAGAGTGAAAAGGCAAGCCACAGAATGGGAGAAAACATTTGCAAATGATATACTTGCTTTATATCCAGATATATGTCCATATGTTAATATGAAGAATATAAGGAACTCCTAAAGCTCAACAACAACAAAAAACAACCAACCCAGTTAAAAAAATGGGCAAAGGACTTGAATATACATTTCTTCAAAAAAAATACACAAATAGCCAATAAGCACATGGGAAGATGATCAATATCACTAATCATTAGGGAAATGCAAATCAAAACAACAGTGAAATACCATCTTACACCCATTAAGGTGGCTACTATAAAAAAAACAGAAAACAAGTGTTGGCAAGGATGTGGAGAAATCACACAACCCTTGTGTACTGTTGGTAGAACGAATGTAAGATGGTACAGCCACTTTAGAAAACAATATGGAGATTCCTCAAAAAATTAAAAATAAGGGCCAGCCGAGTGGTTCAGTTGGTTAAGAGCTTGCTCAAGAGTTTGAGCTCTGAGCAACAGCGGTTTGATGCCCGGCCCGAGCTGAGCTGCTGCTGGATGGCTCAGCTAAAAAAAAAAAAAAATTATAAATAGAACTATTATATGATCCAGCAATTCTACTTCTGGGTATATAACCATAAGAATAGAAAGCAAGATCTCAAAGAGATATTTGCCCACCCATGTTCATAGCTGCATTATTCACAATAGCCAAAAGTGGAAGCAACCCAAGTGTCCATCGACAGATGAATGGGTAAACAAAATGTCATATATACAGTTGACCCTTTAACAATGCAAGGGTTAGGGGCTCCAACGCATGCAGTCAAAAGTTCACATATAACTTAAGTCAACCCTTTGTATAAATCAATTCCCAATAGCAGGTCAAAAATACAGTTGACACTTGCACAACACAGGTTTGAACTGCACAGGTCCACTTATATGTGGGGTTCAAATCTGTGTTGTTCAAGGATCAACTGTACACACAATGGAATTGTATTGTTCACAACAGACAAAAGGTGGAATAACCCAAGTGTCTTATCAACGATGAATGGATAAATAAAATGTGGCTCATACCTACAATCGTATGCATCTAACAAGGCATCAATATACTTGTATGTGAGGCCAAAACTGATGGAAATACAAGGAGAAACAGATGAATCCACTATTACAGTTGGGGACTTCATTCCCCCTATATCAGTAATGGACAGATCCAGCAGGCAGAAAACAAGTAAAGCCATAGCTGAACGCAACAGTACCATCAATCAACTGGATATAAGCTTCACCCCACAACAGTGGAATACACATTCTCCTCAAGCTCACATGGAACATTCACCAAGTTGAATGTTCAACTAAATCAGTCATCTAAGCTTCCATTTTAGGAAACTAAAAATAAAAGAGTAAATGACATCCAAAGCAGAAAATAAAATTTTAAAAAAAAATTGGAGCAGGAATCATGAAATTCAAAACAGGAAGTCAGTAGAAAAAAATCATTGAAATCAAAAGCTGGTTATTTGAAAAGATCAATAAAATTGATGACCCTCTAACAGGGCTAACTGAGAAGAGAGAAAATACAAATCACTGATATCAGAAATGAGAAATGGGACATCACCACAGATCCCATGGACATGAAAAGGTTAATAAAGGAATACTATGAACAACTCTATGCCCACATATAGGCTAGATGCAGTGGACCAATTCCTTGAAAGACACAATCTCCCAAAACTCATACAAGATCACACAACCTGAATATGCCTATATCTATTAAAGAAATAAATCAATAAAAAAAGTCTTCCAAAACAGAAAGCATCAGGCCAGATAGGTTCATTGGTGAATTCAGTCTTAAAAAAGAAGGAAACTCTGACACATGCTACAACATGGGATAAATCCTGAGGAAATTATGCTAAGTGAGATAGGCCCGTCACAAAAGGACAGATGCTATATGACTCCACTTATATGGGGTACCTAGAATAGTTAAACTCATAGAGACAAAGTGGAATGGTGGGCGCCAGGGTTGGGGGGAAAGGGGACTGTTCAATGGGTATAGAGTTTCAGTTTAAGAAGAGGAAAAAAGGTCTGGAGATTGGTTGTACAACAACATGAATTACTTAACACTACTGAACTGTACACTTAAAAATGGGTAAGACAATAAATTTTATGTTACATTTGTTTTGCTACAATTTTTAAAGAATTAAGGCACAGTGATGCCAGGGGTGAAGCTGTGCAGTTATAAGGTTTACTAAGTCCGTCCAGGTTAGGACAGACTCTCGAGGACCAAGCATAACCATAGCCTCACATACCCAACCACACACCCCATTTCCAACACACAAAACATCTGCTGGAACTCACAACACATGCAGCAGGCAGGAAGGACGGCCCTTATTCTGTCTACCGGGGGACAGAAAGGTGAAGAAGGGACACGCCCAGGTCACTCTTGGTAAGGAACAGGGCCTGGCCAGGGCCCCATTTTTCAGATTGCCAGGCCAGTGCTCCCCCTGCCACCTCAGGGCCCTGTTAAAAGTCCAGATTCTCCAGCTGGGTCACCTGTCTTTGAATTCCAGCTCTGCTATTTACAGCTGTGGAGCCTCAGGCAAGTTAGTCAGCCTCTATATGCCTCCTAAAAAGTGGGGATAATAACAGGCCATGGGGTCATTGTGTTCTTATTACACATAAAGTACTTAAAACAGCCCAGCCTGTGGGAAGCACTCTGCCAACGTTAGCTATGACTGCCTCAGGGGTTGGTTTTTTGTTTTTCTCTGAAGATCTATAAGGGACAAAGCTACTCCCAGCAGTTTAAAGGCAATGAAATTGATTTATTAAGGGCTTGCTGGTTCTGGGATCCTATGCAACCTGTGTCTGTGCTTTGAAAGCCCAGGACATGCCAGATTCTTCCCAGCTCACTACTTCGCCTCACTCTTGGTACCCAGAGTTGCTGAGCTGCAACCATCAGCCCAAGAAGCAGTATGCTGAGAGTGACCCACGTTCTTCTTTCCAGTCCTATGGGCTCTGTAACAGCTGAGCGGACAACACGCAGGTGACAGCTTCCCCAGTGCACCAAGGAAGGCCTTTCCCCCCAGGACCACACAGACAGTGGGAGGCAGACATGTCTCTCTGGATCCCAGGCAGCAGCAGAGCTCAGCGTAGATCAACCTGTGCCAGTGACCCAGGGGACGTGCTTGGTAGCAGGAAAAGCTGATGCCACACAGGACTCAGTCGGTCTAGAGAGGACCCAGCAAGGTCACCACGGCAGTGCTTCCTCCTGCAGCTCCGGGGGCTGCACAGCTTTTCTGGCCAAGAGTTACCTCGATGGCATCTCAAACAACAGGACTTCTCTGCAGATGAGAGGAAGATTGTTGCTCCAGGAAGGGAGTGCCAAGGTTCTCCTGAGAGTGGGACTGACCATTGCAACCATTTTTAGATGCACAGCTCAATGGTGTTGAGTACATTCACTATATTGTGCAACCATCGTCCATCTCTAGAATGTTTTCTTCTTCCCAAACTAGAACTCTATATTTATTAAACAACTCCCCATTTCTCCCTGCCTCTCAGCCTCTGGCAACCTCCATTCTTCTCTCTGTCTCTATGAAGGACTACTCCAGGTACGTCATATAATTGGAATCATACAGTATCTATCCTTCCGTGACTGGCTTGTTTCACTCAGCATAACGTCCTCAAGGCTCATCCATGTTGTAGCAGGTGTCAGAATTTAATTCCTTTTTAAGACTGAATAATATTACATTGTATGTTCATACCACATTTTGTTTATCCAATCATCTGCCAGTGGACACTTAGGTTACTTCTACTTGGCTATTGTGAATGATGCTGTTAATGAACATGGGTATACCAATATCTCTTTGAGTCCCTACTTTCACTTCTTTTGGGTGTATACCCAGAAATGAAATTGCTGGATATCCAAGACTCTCTCCAGCCATTTCACCCACAAAGAGCACACTGGGTCAACATCCACACACTGGCATTGGGCCCTGACCATGGTTATTCTTGGTCCCTCCCCTTCCTCCCAGCACACTCCTGCACAATTGTGGGAGTTCTTTAGGTCCTACCCGAGCCCTCTGACATCATGCACAAGCTGTGCCAGGCAAGTCTCCCTTGTCCCCTCTCCTTGGGGTAGGCCTGCCATCTAGTGCAATGGGCAGTGGGGAAGCCCTGCCCTGGGAGTCAGGAGCTCTGAGCTTCCACAGGGTTTGTTGTGATGGGTCCCTGCTTCCTTCTCCTCTCTGGGCCCTGCTCCCCTTAAGTGTAAAGGAATTGTTAGAGTGGGTGCCCGCTGAGGCCCTGCCAGCACGGCAATTCTACGACTCCAAGCAGCAGCCAAGATGTACCTCCCTTAGAGAACCATGAACAGACACTGGTGAACAGACTGACGGTAGTGGGGACACACCGAAAGTGCTGCCAGCTGCAGCCTTGCCCAGACTGTGTCCCTGGGCTTGCTCCATATGCCCAGCCTCAGGCTTCCAGCACCAACCGTTAGGACCTTACCACTGTGCCAGGTCAAGCCCTGGACTTGGAGCTTCTCTCCCTGATCTTCCTCCCTCTCATTCTCAAATTAGGGCCCCAAGGCATTGCGGGGCCCTGTCCCTCCTGGGTGCAGCTTGGACCCCATCTGGAGGAGGCTTTGGTCCGAGCTGGACCAGGGAATGCATACCTTTAAGCTCTGCTCATTCTGGTGCATAAGGTAGGCCAAGATGGCTGCACAGCTGCGACTGATGCCCAGGGTGGAAAATACCAGGATGACAGAGCCAAGCTGGAGGTGGATCTCTGCAAGAGGAAGGGTAGGTGGGGGGTCGTGTGCGGCTCCTTTCCCTGTGGACCTGAGTTACTGTAAGATGACTGGCCTCACTAGGTCCAAGAGTGGGCTCAGAACCAGCTCTTCATGTCCTAGGTAAGTCACATGACATCTCTAGGACACTATTTCATCATCAGGCAAACAGGGATCCTCAGACCTAATTGGCAGTTCAAGAGAATCACACAGGGACATTCAGCATTATCATGCAAAGCCCTTTTCTTGGTTCTCCAGGCTTCCAGACCAGGAAGGACTTCTACCAGTTGGCCTCCCCTGGTGGGGATGAGAGGATCGCCCCCCAAGGGCACTTGGGAACTGACAAAGGCAGCGAAGCCTGGGTATGAATCCTGGCTCTGCTAGTCAATGGTTGTAGGGTTTGGGTGTGTTACTCTAAACCACGGTTTCCTCAACTGGAAAATGGGATGACAGTATACTACCTACCTTGCAAGATTTTGTACTCTGCTTAGCCCAGTGGCTGGCACAGAAATGTCAGCTGTAATCATACCCAAAAATACCCCCAAGGCTGTGAGTCTCACCTAGTGAGGGGTGCAAAGGAAAGCTAAGCTGGCATCCTAAACTGGTCTGGTAATCCCCAACTACTGAAGATAAATATGCCAAATGCAAATCACAGACTGTCAGTACTGGAGAAGGACTCGGAGATGATTAAGGCCAAGGGCCTCATCATATGCATAAGGAAACCGAGGCACTGAGCAGTTAAGGACTGGCCCACAGCCACCCAGTGGGTGGGGCTGGAGAAGGGGCCTCTTTGTGCTATGGGGCTCTGTCATCCCATGGTGGGATACGCGGCAAGTCTATCTCAGCTCCTAGTTAAGTGATAGTTCCAACATCCTGGGCAAGGAAGTGGTGTTTAGGCCAAAATGTCCTTCTCTGGCCCCTTGTGCAGCAACTCAGGCTGGGGGCCGTGTGAGTGCCAAGCGGGCAGGCCTGGGGTCTGACCTGACTCAACTTTGCCGACTCCAGGGATCTTTGTCTCCTTGGGCAATCCTGAGCTCTGGGAATGACTGAAAAATCCAGCTGCAGTGAGATTAAGCAACTGGTGGGGGCACTGCTGTGTTTGGTGGGAGGACAGAGGGGCACTGGGCACACACACTGAAAATCAGGGAAGTCAGAGGCTTTGGAGTCTTCCTTCCACCAGCCCATGCTGACCAGACAAAAGAGTAGGGACAGAATGAGATACACCCCCAGGTTGCCAGAGCACAGTCCAGAGCAGGGCTCCATGAACACACGAGTATGCATGTACGGTAGGCCAGCAGCCTCATTTCAAAACAGGCCAACAGGTGCTGTGAGGCCAGGCCCCAAAGGGCCTAGTGGTCCAGCCAGAGCTGGGACTCAGTGCGCTCAGGCCACAGTCAGGAGCTCTAATTTGGCTTCACTGCCCATGTTACACGTGTGGCTGCCCATGTTACTGAGGGCCCCAGAAAGATGGGCTTGTCCTAGGGGTTGTCCACACCAGGTTGGCACGCGCTGCCCCTTCTCTCCTGAGCACTGAGAGTCACAGTCAGGAATAGGTGTGTGGACGAAGTGCCACAGTCCCTCTGCCCCCTGGGCACAGGACAGTAGCCGCCTGGTTAGAGAATGCTCCTTACCAATGAAGTGACAGATATGGCGCAAAAAGGGGGAGATCTTAGCCTCCAGGGAGTCTTCTATCTGGATGTGCAGGAGCTTGTCTGCATCGCCTAGGAAACTAACAGAAGAAAAGCACAGGTAATCGGGCAGATTCACACAGAACATCCTGCGGTGTCCCCTCGTCCACAGCAGTGGGACCACGGGGAAGGGATGCTGAGTCAGCGACAGGTGATGTGGGCAAGGAACTAACCTCTCAGAAAAAAAGGACCTCCCTCAAAGGGGTAGGATATGGATTTTGCTAATTAATCTGTGTATTTATCTGCTTGGTACATAGTAAGTGCTCAATAAATGTGACAGTAATATTATTAATGAAACATGGTACTTGCCCAGAATATGGTGCAGATAATAAAATGAGGATGGGAAGAAATATGTCATGACCTTGGAGAATGAGCCTGCTATGTTACATGGAGAAAGCAACGTAAGAGGAATGGAGAGTGGCGAGGCTGCTGTTTAAGATAGGATGATCAGGGAAGGCTTTCCTGAGGTGGGACATTTGAGCTTAAAGGAGGGAACAAGCCAGGCAGTTATCGGAGGAAAGTGTTCCAGGTGGAGGAGAATGCACGTGCAAAGGCCCTGAGAGGCAGTATGTTTAGTGTATTTGGGAAACAACAGGGAAGTTAGAGTGGCTAGAGCTTTATGAGCACCGGGGAGAGAGGAGGGCGATGAGGTGTGTGGGATGTTTAATGACAGCATGCCTGCAAGGAGCTTGGCCCAGTGTCTGGCATGCAGTAAGCATTTGTGAAGAATATGGCCTGCTGATGACATTCAGCAGTGTGCAGAACACTGTGGCATGCAGAAAGTTTAGTAGATTCAGAAACATAGGCTGGTTTAGTTTCTGCATGAGTACTTCTTGTGACAAATAAAAGCACAATTCACCATCCATCCACCCATCCATCTTTTCATCTCCGTCCAGTCCTCTTTCCCTCCCCATCCATCCCTCCATGCCCATCCATCCATTCTTTCTTCAGACACTCAATGCCCATCGTTTGCACACCTAGGGAGGGAAGTCCCTAGTGGACACAAGAACCAAATAGGGCTCCTCCCAGCTTCAAGGAGATCCCAGTCTGATGGTGACAGGCTGATTCTAAAATGTATACGGAAATGCAAAGGAAACAACTTTAAAAAAGAAAAACAAGATTAGAGTACTCACACTAACCTGATTTCAAGATGGTTATAAAGCTCCAGTAATCAAGAATGTGGAATTGGTATAAAGAAAAACATAGATCAATGAAACAAAGTAAAGACTCCAGATATAATCCCACACAAATATGATCAATTGATTTTCAACAAAGGTATCAAAGCAATTCAACAGGAAAAGGATCATCTCTTCAAATGATTGCACATTTCCACATACAAAACAATGAACTTTGTTCCATATCTCTCACCATATACAAAAATTATTTCAAAATAGATCAAAACACGTGAAGGTTAAAATTATAAAACTTTTAGAAGAAACTACAGGAGAAAATCCTTGTCAACATTCAAGTGTCCATATATGCAGGGATCTGTGTTTGGACTCCATTTTGTTCCACTGGTTTATTTTTCTATGCTCTACCAGTATCACAATCCTTGCTTATACATGTCTAACCACTGTGCTGCAAACCCGAAACTAATATAAAATAATATTGAACGTCAACTGTAATTGAAAAATAATAAAATAAAATATAGAAAAAACACAATCCTTACTTGCTATGGTTTTTAAGTCTTGGTATCTAGTCAAGCAAGTTTTCCCACTTTTTCTTTAATATTCACTTATTTTTGCCCTTTGTATTTCCATATAAATTTTATAATTATTGTATCAACTTTTACACACCTATTGGAATTGTATTGGCATTATACTGAATCTATAGATCAACTGGGCAAGAATTAACATCTTTACAAAACTCATTCTTCTAATCCATAACCACAGTGTGTCCTCTGTCTATTCAGGTAATCTAACAATTCACAGTAATGCTGTACATTTTATGTGTAAAGATCTTAAACATCTTCATGGGTTATAATCTTAGGCATTTAATATTTTTGTGCTACTGTAAATCACATGTTTTTTAAATTTCAGTTTCTGCTTTTTATTTGTATACAGAAAAACAATTCATATTTGTATACTGATCTTATACCCAGCAATCTCATTTAAGTCTAATAATTTATCTGCAGATTGTTTTGACTTTTCTGTGTATACAATTATGTTGTCTTGGAAAAATAAAAGATTTTTTCCCTTTTGATTCCTATTTTCTTTCTTTTTCTTGCCATATTTGACCAGCTAGGACCTCTAGTACAATGCTACATAGGAGTGGTGATCCTGGCACCTTTGTCTTGTTCCCAAACTCAGAGGGAAAACTTTCAACACATCACCATTAAGTGTGATATTTGCAGCGGAGATTTTTGTAGGTTTTTGTTGTTGTTGTTGTTGTTTGTTTGTTTAATCAAATAAGTTCTCTTCTATTCCCAGTTTGCTAAGAGGTTTTTGTTGTTGTTGTTAATCATGAATGTATAGTGAATATTATCAAATGCTTTCACTGCATCTATTGAGATAATCCTGAGTTTTCCTCTATGTTATTAATACAATAAATTACATGAATTGATTTTTTAGATTCTAAAACACCTTTGTATCCTTGGAATAAACCAAACTTAGTCATCATGTGTTATCTCTGTCACATATCTCTCTATTCAGTGTGCTCATATTTTGTTTAGGATTTTTACATCTATGTTCGTGAAGAAAATTAGTGTATAATTTACCTAGTATTATAATGTCCTTGTCAGGTTATGAAATCAGAGTTATGCTGGTCTTATAAAACAAGTTGAAAATTGTTCCTCTTCTTTATTCTTTACAATAATTTAATATTGGCTTTATTTCTCCTTAAATATTAGGTAAAATTCACCACTGAAGCTATCTAGATCTGGAGTTTTCTCTATGAGAAATTTGCTTATTAGTTATTGACACTAATCAAATTTTCTATTTTGTCTGATGTCAGTTTTGATAGAGTAGGGTATGTATGGTACCGTTTTACAAATGATTATTTGGCCTTCACTTTTTTTTTTAATCAAATATATTCATTTTTTTAAAAAAGTATTTTGACTTTCTTGACCCTTTCTATTTTGTTTCCAGTTCAGTAACCTGCATTTATTATTCCTTCCTTCTTCTTTATTTGGGTTTAGTTTTTGCTGTTCCTTTGGCAATTTCTTAAGATGAATGTTTAACTAGTTGGTTTTTAGCCTTTCTTTTTTATATATATAATAAATGCATTTAAGACTATAAATTCCCCTCTAAACACAGCTTAACTACATTCCACAAGTTCTGATATATTTTCATTATCGTATAGTGGAAAATATTTCAAAATTTCCAAAAAATATTTCAAATATTTCAGGGCTGGCCAAGTGGCGCGATGGTTAAGAACTGGCTTGGGACGTCAGAGGGCCCCGGTTCGGATCCCACATATGAGGGCCAGTGACACTGCCCTTCACAGCTAAGATGCTGAACAACAGCTNTCTTTGCTGTGAAGTCCAATTTATCTAATAATAATATTGCCACTCAGAAGCTCTTTTTTTAAAAAAATTAGTCTTAGCCTGGAATATCTTATTCCATCCACTTTGTTTTAACCTATATTTGTCTTTAAATTTAAAGTACATTTCTTCTAGACAGCCTATAAACTGCATTTAATTGGAATATTTAGGCCATTTGCACTTTGATATGATTGAGTTTGAATCTATCATCTTGCTATTAGTTTTCTATTGGTCTCATCTCTTCATTGTTCCCTTTTTCCTATTTTTCTGCCTTCTTTTGAATTGAATTTTTATATGATTCCATTTTATCTCTCTTGTTATCTTATTAGTTATATCTCTTTGATTTATTTTTGTTTTGTTCTATTTATTGGTGGTTGCTTTAGAGTTTATAGGATACATCTTTTAACTGATTATGTTCTACCTTCAAGTGACATTATACCACTTCATGTAAACAGAGTAAGAACCTTACAAGTGTATGCTGCTATTTTTCCTCTTCCTGCCTTAGTAAATTGTGGGCATACATATTATTTCTACATGTGTTATAATCTTAAAATACATTATATTTTCTTTTTCTTTAAATAATCAATTATATTTTGAAGAGATTTAAAAACAAAGGGAATGGGTTTTTTACATAATTATCATTTCTGGTGATTTTCATTCTTTTTGTATAGATTCAGATTTCAATCTAGTGTTGTTTTCGTTTTGCCTAAAAGACATCCTTTACTTTTTTTTTTTGTAGGGCACACCTATTGATGATAGAGGGCAGTGTTACTGGCCCTCATGTGGGATCCGAACCGGGGCCCTGCTGCTCAGAGCTGGCATCCCAAGCCAGCTCTTAACCAATGTGACACTCAGCCGGCCCGATCTCTGGATTCTTGACTCTGTACATTCAACTCAGAAAGAAAAACAGGTCTTCATTGACCCCCTTACTATACTGTGACCTGTAAGCAATCGCCAAGAAATAAGGTGAATCGATTGTGAAGCTCCCTTCTCTCAGGAATCACTGTCCTATACTGTCTGTTGGCCATTGTCTGAAAACCCTTGTTTTAGATGTTTTTTCCGGTTTTTTGTGTTTTTTTTTTTTTCGTTTAAGGTGGGATTATAAATCTAGTCATGAGGATGGAGTCTCGGACAGAATTTACCAAAGAAGTCATATGGGCCTAGAGTTTTCTTTGTGAGAAATTATTTAACTATGAATTCAATTCATTAATATGAGGCTATTCTGATTATCTATTTCTTATTAAGTGAGCTTTGATAGCTTGAGTCTTACAAAGAATTTGTTCATTTAACCTAAATTTTCAAAAGTATTGGCATAGGGGTGGTTGTTTAGCTCAGTTAGTTAGAGAGCAGGTTCATAACACCAAGGTTGCTGGTTTGATCCCCACATAGGCCACTGAGATGCACCCTCCACAACTATATTGAAACAACTACTTGACTTGGAGCTGATGGTTCTGGAAAAATACTGTTCCACGCCCTCCCCAGCCCCCCCCCAAAAAAGCAATGGCTCAAAATACTTTTTTTGAGTTGCTCAAAATATTTTCTAGTTATTTTTATTTTTTA